TTTTAAAAAAATGCTCCCCGATTGAGTGCTGACACAGCAGGTCTGTTTCTGTGGGGCACCCCCAGCTGCCAAAACAGAGAAAATACAAGCGCTCCCAGAGGACCCCCCCCCTCTGCTGAGGCGGAGGGAAGGCTGCCTTCCTTCCCAGGCTGCTTTCTCTCTTCTGTCTGTCTGGAAAAATGTTCGGAGCACGAGGGAAGCAGGTGCGGGAAGGTCCTTCTGGGCATGTCAGTAGGGAAAACGCTGGGCGGAGGGCGAAGACTTTCTTTACATTATTTTCAGTATTTTCACCCCAGTTCTGCCAGGCCTGAGGCAGCCTGCAACAGTAACTGTAGCCGGTATGGCTCCTTAGAAATGAAATGGAACCCCGGGTGCCTCTGGCATGAGCGGGTGGCTTGCAGGGGTGCACTGTTTCTGAACATGGAGGATTCATTTAGCCCAATGAAACAAAAAGCCCAGGAGCTCCTTAAAAGACTAACAGCAATTTATTTCAGTATGAGCTTTTGTGAATCAGCACCTGCTTATATGAAGGAAAGTCATAGTTGGAGATCTTGGGGGGGGCAGGTTTTAGGGTGGGGAGGGGCCAAGAGTGGGGGAGAATTGGCCCACGAGTTTTTCAGATGTAAATCTCCAGGCCAGGGGGGAATCGAGGGAGAAAGGTCAGATGTGTGAGTCCCATCATAAACGAACAGAACTAGCAGTTAGGCATACTGGATGGCAAAGGAGGTTGGAGTGTGGGACAGATAAGAGGTGGAAGAAGAAGAAGAGATTGGATTTATACCCTGCCCTTCACTTGGAGTCTCAGAGCGGCTTACAAACTCCTTTTCCTTCCCCTCCCCACAACAGACACCCTCTGAGATAGGTGGGGCTGAGAGGGTGTCTGTTGTCAAGAATTGAGAGGGTGGTCAAGAATTGCTCCTGAGAGAACAGCTCTGAGAGAACTTGTGACTGACCCAAGGTCACACCAGCAGCTGCAAGTGGAGGAGTGGGGAATCAAACCCGATTCTCCCAGATTAGAGTCCACACATTTAACCACTACACCAAACTGGTAGATCAAAGTCTGAGTCTAGTGGCACCTTTAAGACCAACAACGTTTAATTCTGGGTATAAGCAACAAAGTTTAATTCTGGGTACAAGCTTTTGTGTGCATGCCCAGAATTAAAACTTTGTTGGTCTTAAAGGTGCCACTGGACTCAGACTTTGTTCTATTGCTTCAGACCAACATGGCGACCCACCTGAAAACAAGCAGGTAGTTTAAGTGAAAATTAAGCGGTATTGGGGTAGGGTTATAGCCTGATGAAACATCTAAAGAAAAGCAAATTAAAATTTCTATAAAGTGGGCCTTGCAGTTTGTGAGGACTAAGGAAATCCAAGTGTCTGTGCCGGGGAGACATGTAGGATATGACTTTTTTGATGGTTCTGATCCGGCACTTTCACATTGTATATTCTCTTCGAAACTTTTTTGTAGAGCAGTGACTTCCAGGTCTGCAAATGGTACGTCCAGGGAGATGTTGAGGATTTCTGAATGTTGAGAGATTTCTTGGGGCTGATTTGTGTTCATTCATTTTTTCACATAGGGATCTGACATGTTTTGTCCAGTGTAGACAGAAGAAGGGCATTGTAGGCACACAAAGTTAAGTTGGGCAATACACAAGTGGATGAGCCCAGGATGGTGTAGCTGGTGTTAGTAGGTCCCATAATAGTATTGCCAGAGTGTAAGCGGGGGCAAAGTTGGCGTCCAGGTCCGTTGCTTTCTGGGTCTATTCTTGTAGGTGAGAAACTGTTCTAAGTAGGGGGGAGGGCTGTAAGCAAGGAAAGGGCTGAGACACACACACCCCCCGCCGCCTGTGAAAGAGAAATTCCCTAATGAAGAGAAGCTGTCGTTAATGCTGAAGCATTGACATGGTGGTTGTGAGCTGTAGTTGACAACCAGCGGTGTTTGGTTGCCTCTTTCTTTGGGTCCGTCTTATAGCAGGCTGGCCTGGTGGATCCGCTTCTTTACCATCCTGGGCTCAGTGGTCAGTGTTTTTTCTTATAAGGCTGTGCTTATGTGTCCTTTGCAAAGTCTCAGAAGTGGCGTCCAGGAAACGTACTTCTTGTGTGGAGTAGCCTGTAGTGAGGCTGATGTTGGGATGAAAGTGGTTGACATCCTGATGGAATGTCTCAAGAACTTCCTTCCCATGAGTCCAGGCTCTGAAAATACCATCAATAAACTTTAGGTACACAGACGAGGAGGTAATGGGCCGGTTTATTCCCGTGCCAGTCATGCAGATGTTTGCGTACTGCGCAGGTGCCTCTAACTGTCCCATTAACCTGAAGGTACAAACTGTTGTAAAATGCAAAGTAGTTGTGAGTAAGGAAAAATAAGCAAAGTTCAGTAGCTGGGTTTGCTGTGGTGTCATCAGGAATAGTCTTCCTGATGGCCCATCTTTGTGGAGGGCATTGGTACACAGAGACTCTGCATCCGTTGTCGCTAAGATGATGTTTTCCGGGAGGTTTTGGATGGACTGTAGTTTCCTCGGGAAGACGTCTGCTGTGTCTCATAGGTGACTGAAGGTGCCAACGACTCAAGGCCTGAAGTTGGAACACCTGCCACAGTGACAGTGCCAATTCCATGAGCTGCCAAGCTTAGGGGAGGGGCTGTGGCTCAGTGGCAGAGCACCTGCTTGGCACGGAGAAGGTCCCAGGTTCAGTCCCCAGCATCTCCAATGTAAAATCATCAGGAAGTAGGTGGTACAAAAGACCTTTCTGGGCCTGAGGCTCCGGAGAGCAGTTCTCAGTCCGGGCAGACAGTCCCGACCTTGATTGACTAATGGTCTTAATTCCGTACAAGGCAGCACCATGTGTGTTTGTGCATGTAGAGTGAGCTACTAAGTGCATGCAGCTTGGGTAGCAAGTCAAAACTCTTTGGCCATATCAGTTGGTTCTTGTATACGAGTGGGTAACTGCTTCGTGGTCTTGTTCAGATCTCTTTGGTACTCCTTTGTGGGGTCTCAGGCAAGTGAATGGTAAAATGTGGGACTGTGGAGCTGTCCCTTGGCCTCCCGTGTGCTATCCGGGGTGACAACCGCACCCCCCTCCCTTCTTGATCGTGATGTCGGGATTGTTTCAAAAGTCGTTCAGCTCATTTTTTTCAGTGTGGCTGCAGTGGTACCTCAGATGGTGTTTTTTTATGATTACTTACAGAATCATAGAATGTTAGAGTTGGAAGGGACCCTACAGGTCATCCAGTCCAACCCCCTGCACTCTGCAGGAGCATAGCTGAAAGATAGTCCGACTGACATACTTCAGTTTGGACTAGCAGGCACTGATAGACCTTTCCTTCTCTGTGAACTTTGTAGCCTCCTTTTGAAGCTATCTAAGCCAGCAGCTGCTTCTTGTGGCAGTGAGTTCCACTGATTCTGTGTGGCATGAAGAAGTGCCTCCTTTTGTCTTGAATGTACGGCCCATTGCTTTTGTTGGGTGGCCCTAAATTCTAATGTTCTGGTTCAAGGGGAAAGTCCTCTTTCCCCACTTTTTCTTAATCCTGTACGTATTCTTTGCACCTCTGTTGCACCCTCCCACGGCCGTCTTTTCCTAAACCGCCAAGCCCAGCTCCTTAGCCCTTTCTGCATTCCCAAGGGGGTTCACCACAAATCTGTGCAAAGGCAGATTTCTCCTGTGAACTTTCTCTGTCAATGTGACCTAAGGCCAAATAACAAGTGGGCCTTTTTTTCCAGAAGGGCAGCTTTTCCTCCGGAGTTATAGGTTGCTGTTCATTCATAGTCTGCCTCTGCACCCCCCACCCCACCCCGAGACTCAAGGCAAATTGCAGAATAGGAAAACGACGCAAAAAGGGCTAATCTAATAAATACAGGGACTGCAGTAAAACTGGACTACAGAACCAGAGAACAATGAAATAAAAAAGATACATCCAATAAGCAATTTCTCCCCCACAGACATTAAGCTGCCACCCAGTTTCCCTTTAGGTGAAGTGCCTTCCTGAACAATTCTGTTTCACCACCGCCCTGTTCTCTTATGGCAAAGGGTACCCCAAGCATTTCTAGGAGAAGCCGTTGTGGGGAGGGGCGGCAGTAAATCTCTTGGGCTTTCTGTGGGTTTGGGGTGGAAGGAGAGCTCTTCCCGCTGTAGCCCTCCTGCTTTGCCAAGTGAGAAGCCTCTTTGTTGATTTGGGGGGGGGGTTGTAAATGAAGGGTTGCCAGGCTGTGGCGCAAAGGCAGTCCTCCCTGCAGGCCGGCCGGCCAGCCAGAACAAGGGCCTGCAGTATTTCCACATGTGAGGCAAACCACACCAAAGGAAGGAAGGCGGCTGCAAAGCTGCACTAACAAAGCCCTCCCCCATCCCCTGGAGCAGGGGGGAGGGGGGGCCCTTGCTGCCACGTAACCCGGCATAGCCTGGGTAGGCAACTTAAAGTCCCAAAGGCTATAAAACATACTGGAGGTTGGTAGGAAAACAAACCTTCCGTACAAGTTGTTTGGACGTCACTTTGCGGCAGTATCGAAATTTAAGATTCTTTTGCAATAGTCAGGAAGCTGAGCCGTGGTGCAAACATGACTCTGTAATCTGGATTTATGAACCAAGCCTGAAAATAGAGATAATTTTGCACAGCCCCCACCCCATCCAGCAATTCAGCAGGTTAGCGGAGGATCAAGAGCAGCAGCAAGTGGGACGGAGGCTCATCAGTCCTAGCAGGTCATGGGCTGGGAGCAAAACAGCTGTTTCCCCCCTTCCTGCCGATGAACCGGCTGGAGTGTTGGCCTAGGGTCTGGGAGGCTGGAGTTCAGATCCCCAGCAAGCCACAGAGTTACTGGGTGACCTTGGGACAGTTACCTTCTCCCTGCCCAACCTACCTTGGAAAGTTGCGAAGATACAAAGGGGGTAAGGGAGTGCCACAGTGCCATTCTGAGCTCCTCCGAGGAAGGTGCTTTGAAAAGGTACTCGAGAGAGCGTTAAGTCTGACCGCAGTGGTTCTTTCTCTCTTCTTCCCCCTGGACGTGTAGGAGCTGGAGAAGCTGGGCCTGGGGGACGATGTGGACCTCTACGTCTATGAAATCCCCGTCGAGTACCAAGCAGTACAGCGGCTAATTCCTGCCCTATGGAAGAAACACAGTCCCCAAGTGAGTGAGTAAAAGCCAGCAGCAGGAGTAGGGACTGGGCATGAAGGGCCTCTGAGAAGCTACAAGGAGTTTGGGCACCGGCTAGGAAAGCTGGACGGGGTCACCCAGGCCGTAGTACCCTCACTTGTAACCACAGAAATGTTTGTGCCTCCGCAGTCCGAAATCTGAGCTGAGACGCACAGACCCTTGCAGCTTTGTGCAAGTGACACCACTTGAGGAATAGCTCGTTTTCCTCCAGGGAATCAGACAAGGGAGATGGTTGATTGCTTCCAAGTTAATCTTTTTCATAGGGCATTATACGGGAGTCCAAGCTTTAAGTGTGTTATATGTAATTCCCTGTGTTGTGTGCACCATGATTCTCCTAAGAGCAGCTATTGGAAAATCTCTCCCGCTTCTTAAAACCCTACCATAGGACATTAAGATCCCTGCTGAATTTGACCACACGTGAAGCTGCCTTCTACTGAATCAGACCCTTGGTCCATCAAAGTGAGTATTGTCTACTCCAACTGGCAGTGGCTCTCCAGGGTCTCAGGCAGAGGTTTTGGACGTTACCTACCACCTGCTCCTTTTAGCTGGAGATGCTGGGGATTGAACTTGAGACCTTCTGCCTGCAAAGCAGAGGGTCTTTCACAAAGCTACAGCTTGAAGATGATGGGCTGTCAGTCCAGGACAGTGTATAATTAACTGGTGGAACTCATCAACACAGGATGAAGTGATGAATGCCCTCTGAGATAGCTCTGAAAGAGGGTTGGAAAACTTTGAGGAGGAGAGGTCCCTGAATGTCTGTTAGCCTCAGTGGTTTAATGGCACCTCCATTTTTTCCAGAGGCAGTGGTATCCCTGACAGCTAGTTGCTGGCTGGGGCAGCAACAGGGTGAGGCTCTGGGGCTTCCTTGAGGCCTCCAGCCATGTGCAGTTGTTGTTTTGATAATATTGTCCCCAACCTGTTGGATTACTGGAGGTGGGCATTTGTCTCTCCAGTGTTATAATAGAAGTCTTTTAGCAACGGTCAGTTTTTGTTGACTATCTGATAGTCTCCAGGAAACAGGCAAATTGTTTAAAAGTGCATAAGCATTGTCAAAGATCAATATACAAAACTGATATGAATAATTACTTCCTCCCCAAAAGACCCAATAACTGGACTGGCCCAAAGCGTATTTTTAAGAGATGCGTCTTGTAAGTTACAGAACTAGCAATTAGAACAACGTTTGAGTCCGGTGGAACCTTTAAGACCAGCAACGTATTATTCTGGGTGTGTTTGTGTGCATGCATACTTCTTCAAAGAAGTGTGCTTGCAGATGAAAGGTTATACCCAGAATAAAATATAGTTGGTCTTAAAGGTGCCACTGGACTCAAACTTTGTTTTGCTGCTTCAAACCAACATGGCTCCCCACCTGAAAAAGTTAGATACTTTACTTTGTCCTTTACTAAAAAGGTGCTGTGGTGTCCAGGACATCAAAAACATAACTTTTTGACAAATAAGTGGCAACTTAAGGTCCGTAGAAGCAGCTGGTATCATATCCCATTGCTCTGGCAAAACAAGGTGATCTTATTCCATTCATTTCTTGAGACCTGCATATCATTTTTTAAATCAATATCAAATATTGTAGGTTGCGTTTACTGCATTGATTTAATGAGAGTTTTCAAGGGTCAGGGAGGTTCTGAAACACTTGGTGCTACAAACAGATGTTGCCCTTGTAAATATTGCCATTCAGCAGAGCATATGTAGACCTCCGCTGAGAAGGTAACAAAATTATCATAGTCTGTTAATTGGTCCAAAGCTCCTATCTGCCCAAGCTTTCCATCAAAAAGATTTTTTTCTCAATTTTTAAATCTGGATTGACCCATAGTTTAATTTAGCACACGAAAGTGAGTCAAATTGATACTGTTGTGACTAATGCCATAATTCTCTTAAGTGTAGAAATTGCATATGGAACGGGATGCTGAACTAGATAGAATCGCCTTGATCTGATCTAGCAGGGCTCTTCTCGCGTTCTTCAAAGACCATTCACTCTAGCATCCTATTTCCAGCAGTGCTTACATAGTCCTGCTAAGTTGCAACAACTCGTTGTAGTTCCGTGCTTTGTCCCCATCTGTCATCCCCCACCCCACCCCAGCCTTTTGCATTTTGGTTTTTGGGAAGAAGAAAACCAGGACGCAGCAACTTTAGTACGTTCTGCGTTTGACTGGAGCAGGGGTCCCCAACCCTTTTGAAACCTGTGTGCACATTTGGAATTCTGAGAGGAGATGGTGAGCTCCGCCCCCCAAAATGTTTTCCACAAGGGGTGAAATCAAACCCAAGGGGCTTTCATAGGAGGTGGAGCCAGGGCTCTTTTTTGTAGCAGGAACTCCCTTGCATATTAGGCGAAACACCCCTATTGTAGCCAATCCTCCAAGAGCTTACAGTAGCCCCTGTAAGAAGAGCGCTGTAAGCTCTTGGAGGATTGGCTACACTAGGGGTGTGTTGCCTAATATGCAAAGGAGTTCCTTCTACAAAAAGGGGCCTGATGTGGAGCCAAATAGAATGCCTTCCTCTTTGCACCTCCTGAGGAAAAAGGAAGGCCTGAAGGAGGAGTGGAATCACATGGACTAAGAAAAGCCCAGGTGTTTACCAGTCCTCCTGATCCTCCAGTAGAAAACCTTTCCGTTTGAATGAAGGCAGCCAATAACAAGCCCTGCCTTCCAATGGCCCCACCCACTTTTTTAAAAGCTTGGTGGGCGCCACGGTCAGGAACCCTGGCCTAGAGAAACGCTGTTGTAGACAGGCCCGAGTTGGCATGCAGTGGGTGTGCATCACTGCTGGAAAGGCCTGGCTTTCTTTTCAACGCACCAGCAGTTGGCATTTCTGGAAGGTGTGGAGCAGAGCTCTTCTCACTCCAGGCCTATCCCCTTTTTTACAGCTGGTGGTTCACGTTGGCTTGTCCGGCATGGCCACAACAGTGACCCTGGAGAAATGTGGCCACAATGTGGGCTACCGGGGTTTGGACAACTGCCGCTTCTGCCCGGGCTCGCACTGCTGTGTGGAAGGAGGCCCTGAATGCATCGACTCGGTGATTGACATGGACCAGGTGTGCAAGAGGGTCTCCGATCTGGACTTGGACGTTCTCGTGACGATATCGAAGGATGCCGGCAGGTATGAATGCTGGGGATGCCCACGGACCAGGGGAAGAGCAGGAACCAGCCCTTCTTTGCTTCTTTCAGTTTCCAAAAGGTTCCCCAAAAGCAAAATGCCCCCAAATGAACAATTCGAAACCATTTAAATGTTTTTCTAAAAATACAACCATCTCAAAAGCACATGTAACTAAAAGGGGCAGGCAGAATTCGACCAGAGTCCTTAAAAAGCCAAACCCTCCCTCCCACAGTAGCCTTGAGAAGAAGAGAGAGGGCCAGAGAAACAGAACAGGCCAAGAGGAAGGGCCTCCCTTCTCCAGGGAGGTTTTCCCCCCCCCAAAAAAATAACTTTTTATTGATTAGATAACATAACACAATCGCCTTGGTCTGATCTAGCAGGGCTCTTCTCGCGTTCTTCAAAGACCATCCACTCTAGCATCCTATTTCCAGCAGTGCTTACATAGTCCTGCTAAGTTGCAACATTGTAGTTCTGTGCTTTGTCCCCGTCTGTCATCCCCCACCCCACCCCAGCCAGCCCTTTTGCATTTTGGTTTTTGGGAGGAAGAAAACCAGGATGCAGCAACTTTAGTACATTCTGCGTTTGACTGGAGCAGGGGTCCCCAACCCTTACTGCCACAGGAAGTGGTGGGTGCTACAAGCATGGATGGCTTCAAAAGGGAATTAGATAAGCATATGGAGCAGAGGTCCATCAGTGGCTATTAGCCACAAGGTATAGCTAGGGGCTCTGGGGCAAGTGATGCTCTGTCTTCTTGGTGCTTGGGGGGGGTCAACAGTGGGAGGGCTTCTAATGTCCTGGCCCCACTGCTGGACCTCCTGATGGCACTGGTATTTCTGGCCACTGTGTGACACAGAGTGTTGGACTGGATGGGCCTTTGGCCTGATCCAACATTGGCGTCTCTTATGTTCTTATGTTCTTAACAGAGGGGCTTTCCCTCAATGAAAGACCACTCAGTGGTATGGATCTGCAGAATCCAGCCCTGTATCTGTACAAAGCTAATTCCACTTAGAACCAGAATGGCTGTTTTATTGTGGAATAACTTATTTACACTCATCCCAAAATGGATGGAATGGATGTTTGGGCAGGACTGTGAAAGGGGGGGCGCGACAAAATTCCTGGGGCCAAAGTCATGCTGCATTCCAGAATGCATTTCCAAGTTTTTTTCTTTACTTCGAATGCAGTTCTGCTCTGCAGCCACTAGGGGCTCAGGGATGGCAGAGTAGCTCTGACTATCTGCTTGTCATGCTTTTCTGCAAAGTTTAAAACTAAACTGAGACAAAGCCATGCCTGTCCTGTCAGATGCTGCTAAACCCACCATCCAAGCCAGCATTGGTGCAAGAACAGCCAAGACAAGGTACAGTCCTTGCCAGCATGCTGCCTCCTAACAAGGTCGTTGTCTCTAGCAGTCTATGGTTTCCCTCCTCCTTCAGTTCCACCCGACTATATAGGTTTTGTCTGCAGCTGGATCTTACAAAGTGGCAGCCTTATTAGTATGTTGTAGCAAAACGGTTTTTTTAAAAACCCTTTTGTTGTCTTTTCTTTAATTTCTTTTTGCCACGCCTCTCTCCTCCTTTTACACACTTTTTCTCCTCCCCAAATGACCCTGATCCAACTCAAATACCATCACCTGGCTGGCTGTCACCATGCATCAATAATAATCGAAGAATTCACGTGTCCATCCATCTGTCCATTTGTGGCAGGCATAACTCATCAGAAAATAAAACTAGGAATCTCAGAATTGGCCACCAGCTGCAGGATGGTCACAGGAGTTCCAGGCCCAAAAATGAAAGGAATCAGAGTACCCTGGCTCTGGCTGTCTCCAGACCCCAGGCCCGTAGCTACAGTTGGGCATTTTGGGGCCCTGCCCACTTAATTAAGAGCCCTGCCCCACAAATACCCATGACAGAAACCTTATTTTTGAGGAGAACCCCCCCCCCTCTGCTGCCTGCTTCTGGCAGCAGGAGCACTGTGGCTTGCCCTCAGTCTTCCCTCTCCCTCCCACAGTGGAAGGGGGGGCATTATGGGGCCCAGAAAAAGACAGCTCAGAGGGCATTTAAATGTCCTTTGAGTTCCCATACACAGGGCAAGAAAGATTAGGAGGGCCCTCAGGAGTGGCACCTTCAATACATCTCCCAACAATCCCCCTTTCTGCTAGCCCAGTCCCGCTGTAGACCACCTAGGTCATGGTGAGTCTTTCAAAAGCACTCCCATGAGCCTTTGCGAAACATGCAAATTCCCAAAGGCTCATATGAATGCTTTTGAAATACTCACCGTGACCTAGGTGGTATACAGTGGGACTGGGCTAGCTGCTGGGCCTCCTGATGGCACCTGGTATTTTTGGCAAACGTGTGACAGAGTGTTGGACTGGGTGGCCCATTGGCCTGACCCAACATTGGCTTCTCTTATGTTCTTAAACGGGGATTGTTGGAGGTGTATTGAAGGTGCCACTCTTGAGTGCCCTTTTAAGCTTTCTTGCACTTTGGACGGGAACTCAAAAGGCATTTAAATGCTTTCTGAAGGCAATTAAATGTCCTCTGAGCTGCTTTTTCCTAGGAACTGAAGCATTTGCTGCCCTGTCCCTTGAAAGGAAAGGCTAGAAACAGGCTAAGAGCCCCCCCCCCTTTAAAGACAGGCATTTAGATTAATTTAATCAACTGTAATTTAACTGCCCCCTTAAAAATGAAATGCCCCCTGAACAAAAAAAATACTGGCTACGGGCCTGCCAGATCCCCTCCCCCATGCTTTTGGCAATGGCAGCTCAGGAAAGTTTTAACTCCTGTTCCTCATGTATCAGCGCTCATGCAGATTAACATTCCATTGTCATGCATGTAAAGGGTGGAAGGGGAGGAGCATCTTTTTAGTATGCTATGATGGGGAAATATCAGTCCTCCCCTTTCTTTTCATAATGTGTTCTCAGTTGCCAGCCAGGAATGGATGAGGAGGGGGTGAGGCCAAGACTAACGGGGGGGGGGGATTAGAAGTGACGACTGATGAGACAGATTATGAAGGAAGGAGGAGACACTTGATTCGGATCCAGGGTCAGATGGGAGACCCACATGGAATTTTTTTGTCCAGGGGCCTGTGGTGGCTCTCGGGAGCCCAGTCTGCTGGATCAGAGCTGGGATGTTGCATCTTTTTTGGGAGTGAAAAGGGGAGGGGATTTGTGTCCAAGAGGGGAGGAGGAGGGAGTTGGGGGGGATGCTCCCAGGGCAGACCCCAGTGGTGCTGCCTTCCTTTTTGACTGACGTCTCGTCTCCGGCAGGTACCTCTGTGACTTCACGTACTACACTTCCTTGTACCAGAGCCACGGCCGGTCGGCCTTTGTCCACGTGCCTCCTCTGGGGAAGCCGTACACCGCGGAGCAGCTTGGCCGGGCGCTCCAGGCCATCATCGAGGAGATGCTCAGTGTCTTGGAACACTCGGAGAGCGACATTAACTGCCACAACGAGCATTGAGCCTGGGCCCAGAGACCCCCCTTTTCTTCCTCACTATTGCACTTCCAAAACATCCCGCTGTCCTTGCAGAATCCTGGGGGGGGAGGAGAGGAGAGAAAGCAACACGCCTGGAAATGTCCGCAGGGAGAATGGGTAACTTGACCCTGCCGCCCACACCGGCTTGCGGCTTTGGGGACAGCACCACAACCTTCTTTCTGAGACGACCGAGTCTTGACAACCTCTTGACATCGCTGGGCAAACCAGCCAACCAACTTGGCTTCCTGCGGAGGAGACCTGGTGAATCAAGGGAACAGGCGTGTCCAGATGAGGGTTTATCTCCCAGAAAAATCCAGTACGGGAGCTGGCAGAGCTGACCCCAGCTGCTCACGTATAATGGCTCCTTTTAATTTTGTGCACGCCGGTTCCACATAACACTGTTGCTCAAAGCAGTAGGGGCCCGATGTCTCTGTCTGTGGAGGCAGAAGGCACCATTTCTTGAACACGGACTGAAACCCCAGGAAGGGCATAGAAGCTTCCCTGGGGTTACTCGGCCGGCCTGCTGGTAACTCAACGGAGGGCTCTCCCGCTCTTGGTGGAAGTTTGGTGATGGCAGAAATACAGGGAGGGGAGCCCCTCCTTCCCTTTGTCCATTTCACCTCCCACTGAGCATCAGAGGTGGGAATTGTTTAAAAAAAGAAACCTCTTTTGAACGCTGCCTTGAACGCTGTAACCATGTACCTCCTTGTGTGGGGATGCACTGCTTCGGGAGTGCATCTTTCTTTCTTTCTTTCTGAGACTCCACACCCTGGGGGGGCATGGTATAGTTTATCCTCCCCCCGCCCCCCTCCCAGTGCCTCATGCCCTCTTGTACCTTAGGAAGTCATGTGGTATTCATATTTGTGCAGACTTTTCTGCTCTGCTGAGAAGCTGAGGACATGGAGACAAGCCGAAATGGTGTCAGCCCCTTGGTGGTGATCGCCCCTCCTGTGTGCAGTGAAGGGGCACTTCCCAGGATCCTGGCACCCCTGCCCGGCAGCCCTTCCAGGGAAGGGTCCCACTGGCCGGCTCTGGAAAGTACACTGCACTTGTGAGCCACGTTTGTGGGGAGTGGGGCGGGCAGAGATGTCCTGCTGGAGGATGAGAGGTTTCTTTCCCCTGGGGCTGTGCAGACGTCACTCTAAACAGCAGATCGTCGAAGCAACTTCTGGCACAAGGACGGGACTGAGCTGCGGCGAAATGGCAGGCCGTGGAGTCCTGTGACTCAAGCGTGCCCGTTTAAAACGGGTGGTCTGCCAATAAGAAAGGCCTTTGGTGAAAGAGAAAAGAGACCTGTGAAATGAGATCTCTAGGAGCTTGTGCTTTCTTTAAAAGAAATGTTTTGTTGCTATTCTAATCTTTTCCTTTTATGATTATGCTTTATTCTGCTCTTGTTAGTAACGCTCATTGAGCTGCTTCGTGTTTACCTCCTGCTTATCCTTTGGGGAGTTTGGTTCCTTGGATGGATTTCTGGGCTCACAGCCTGCATTTTTGGAATTGGCCTTCAGATCCCATCCCACCGCACCCCGCACACACCCCCTCGGGCTCTTGTGGGCCTCCAGATTCTGAGCGGTTCTTGGGGGGAGGGGGGCTGCAACCTTCTTATTGTTTCGTTTTTGTAATTTATTATATTTAATTTTTTTTTGGTCCATATGTTGGTGACATCTGCACTTGTTTTTTTCCCACCCTGTCTCTCCCCCTCCTTTAATTTTTGGCAACAATTTGCAATTTGCTTTTGATTCTGCACGTGGGCCAGGACTGTTGCGTATCCAGTGACGCATCTCAAGGTCTTGCCTTTGCCTCTACCAGAGGGCTGTTTGAAGGAGAAGTTTCTGCAGGACATCATGTTTTTTTTAAAATCCCGACAGTGGGTTCTGTCTCTGAAATGTGGCCGGGGCAAATGGATTGTTCCCACAAGGAGGCCCGTTGACTAGTCCTCCTCGAGTCCTCATTTTTTCACCAGATAGAAGCCTCTCAGTAAGTCCACCAGCAAGGCTGCCTTCCTCCCTTGGGTGGGGGCAGCACAGTGCATGCCCCCTCTTGGGAGTTGCCAGGTCCTCCCTGGGCACCGGTAGGGGATGGGTGTAGGGTAGCCAGCTCCAGGCTGGGGAAATCCTGGAGATTAGGGGGCGGAGCCTGCGGAGGACAGGCACCTTGGTGGAATACATCGAGTCCACCCTCCAACGCAGCCATTTTCTATAGTCTGGAGCAGTGTTCCCTCTAAGCTGAGTTCGTGTGAGCCAGCACTCAGTTTTTTAGCCTCCGGCTCACACATTTTTGTCTTACCTCAAGAAGGACGGCTCCAGAGCAAACTAAATTATGCAGTGGCCAAATCGCTTGCTCACAGCTTCGATGCCAGTGGCTCACAAAGTAGAATTTTTTGCTCAAGACTCCACAGCTGAATTTTATTGTTACGGCGCTTAACCAGCAATATACTCCACAGCTTAGCCGGGAGCATTGGTCTGGAGATGAGCCCGTCATTCCAGGAGATCCCCAGATCTCACCTGGAGGCTGGCCTCTCTCTACCCCTCTCTCTAAACGACATAAAAATTGGCAGGGTGACACTTTGGAAATGTTTTAACCATTAAATGAGACAAAGCGTGAGTCCAGGGGCACCTTTAAGACCGACAAAGTTTGGTTCTGGGTGTAAGCTTTTGTATGCAGGCACACCTCTTTGCTCTGTTGCTTCAGACCTGCATAGCTACCCACCCAAATTTAACAGTTAAATGTACATAAACATGGGCCAGTGTGATGCTCTGGAAGCCCAGGAGGCTCAGAATGCAATTTGGCTTTCCGAGAGACACCCTGCGCTGCTTCTGCACACACATCTCCCCTCCCCCCCCCAGCAAATTTCAGTGCTGCCTTCCTGAGCTGTGCCTGCTGGAACTCCTTGCTGAAGAGCAGGCAACTCTGCGCATCCTGGATGGCAATAACGCAGCCAGTCCTCTGGGGCCCCACCATTTTTAGAGTGAGGCCTTCTTAGCAGAGGGGTGGCTACTTTGAGGGGTGGCACGATCCCCCGTGGACCCGCCAGTGCCTTGATCGGAGCGGTGAGGCAAAGAGCCGAGCCTCAAATCAGCTGAGAACCGACGAGGCTCGGTGATTAGTTCTGGACTAGTATCTGGGAGACCCAGGTCCAAATCCTAAGTCACTCTGCCATGCAAGCTCGCTGCGTGTTCCTGGACCAGTCACCTCTTCTGGCCTGACCTACCTCACAGGGTTCCTGTCGTGAAGATAAAACCGGGGGGTGGGGGTGCTGTTGCAAGCCACTTGGAGGCCCCCAATGAGGAGAAAAACGGGTATAAATCTTTAAATAAATAACTTCTGTGTGGATCAGTTCAAGTAGTTACATGCCCCTGACCAGCTATTGGATGCTGGTCAAACTAATGCTGTATTTGGAGGGAGCGGGCGTCTGCCTAACCCTCCCCCCTTTCTACCAAGCTCTCCCTTCCCGGGCTGGTTGGGTCACTTGGCATTTCTCTCAACACCCACTGGGGCAGCCTCCAGCTGCTTATTCTGAGGTTGCTTGTGTGCGTGTGTGAGACGCCCCTGGTCTTGCCAGTTTCCTTCTCTGCTCTGCCCCTTGAACTCGTCAGCGGATCCCCAGTTGAGATCATTTCCAAAATATACCTCTTTCTAGAGCAAAGTCCTCTGCTTTGTGAGTTAACAGCAATTGATGAAAGAAAGAACTGTCAAAGCTCCTTCATCCTACTAATATGTTTCAGGGTGTTGGGGGTTTTTTGAGTTTTTTTACTTTGAACAGTTTTTGCTGCATCTTCTTGGGAACTTCTGTTGAGCCCTTGCGCAATCGCTTTTCCTTATTTTGCTAGGCAGAAAATATAATTTATTCTGTAATCTTCCCGTTCTTGCGGACACGTTAATTTAGGGGACAGCTGTTTCTCAAGCAGCTGATGTCTTAAGTAGGAAGCACTTGTATAATTTTTTTTAAGTTGCATTAAACTCATTTTATTCTGTTATAAATTGCTTTTTTTTGTCTCCCCCCACCCCCCATTTCACTATCTCATCATTTCTCATTGAGACAGCCTAGTTATGATCCAAAATGGCTCCCTTGACCGGTGTCAGGATTTTCTTTCCTCATGCCCACCCTCACCTAGAGGGGAGTCCTGATGCCTTGCAGCTTACCATAGGCCCCGGTCACACGGAGCATTAGGCACGCTAGAGAGACGGAAGATAGGCGGATTTTCCGGGCGCGATCTCACCGCCACATCTGGGAAGCGTAGAGCTCCCGTGGCTCACCCGAGGCTTCACTCCGAAGATGCGCTGTAAAAAACTAGTACCTCCGAGGTACTAGTTTCCGGAAACCGCGGGGCAAGGGCAGGTGTCAGATCACGTTTCCGGTGTTAGCTTGTGGCATCCGGCGCCCGCCCGCCCGCGAAAAGTGTTTTTTTTTTTTGGTCAAGTCTCCACGGGTGCGCACAAGCACCCAACGGTGCATGTGAACACTTGGGTTAAAAAAACACAACCCCCGCGGCTCCGCTTCTTTGCCGCGCCGCAGGAGTGAGGTATGATCGGCACCTCCCCCCAACTGCAGGACGTTTGATCCGGCTGCCGCGCGGTGGTTCGCTCCGAGGCAAATTCCAGGTGCCCACCCTTCCCTTTTTCAGCCGTCTCGTGACATTGCTGCCAAGCAGAGGCAAGCCTTTAACCTCAGCCCCTCAAGAAGGCATGGCACTATGGAGAGAGTCCAAGGAGCACAGCCCCCCCCCCTTTGAACCTTTAAGGAGGGAGATGTTGCGGGATCAAGATTCCAGCCCTGATTTTGGGTTGGGGGGGGGAGCTGGGCTTCTGGCCTTGTTCCTCCTCCTCTTCTGTTTTTTTAACCCAAGTGAATTTACAAAAAAGACTGTGGCAAGGCATTATTTAGAAAAGTGACCTGTGCCACTGAGACTCCTACCATGAATATAAATAGCTTTTAAAAGCCAACTGGTGTCTTCTAAGGGACAGCCCCGTCTGGGTGTGAGCGGAGCCGCAGGCACCTGCCCCTGAGCCGTTGGCTGGAACAAGGAGGCCTGTTGCTTGGGAACCTCTTGGGGCCGTTCTGAAGCGCTCCCCAAGAATCCCATAGTCAGCGGACGGGGAAAGGGGCCAGCTAGTTTCTAGATCTATTTCTGCAGCTTTGCTGCATGGTTGACGGGACCACGAGGCAGCAGAATTTGAAATTAAAATTGACTTCATATTTTTGTCACCCCGAGTGGGGATTCCGTTTGGATTTTTGAACTGCAGCATGAAATAGGTTTATGCCATCTTGGTGGCCACTGGGAAAAGGGTAACGCCTTCTGGTACCAGATAGGTCAGTGGCCCATGTCACATCTGTGTTGGTCAAAATTGTTTTTCTCTTCGTCTTCTGTTTCCAGTTTTGTCCAGGACTTTGCACGCTGTGGCTTCCATGTGCTCTGTGTACGACACCGCTGCCATGGAGACCCGGCAGGGTGTAATGGTGAGTGTGTCAGACTAGGTAGGACCTGGGAGGCCCAGGTTCACATCCCCAGTCTGCCGTGGAAGCTTGCTGGGTGGCCTTGGGCCAGTCACCCCCTTGCAGCCTAACCTACCTCACAGGGTTGTTGTGAGGACAAAATGGGAGAAGGGGAAGATATTGTAAGCCACTTTGGATCTCCATCGGAGAGAAAAGTGGGGTATTAATGCAGTAAGTAAATAAATAAAATGCCTTGCTCTTTTGTTCAACGGTATATTTCTTTATATAACCCCGTGCTGCAGGAGGGCCATGTAAAGCGAGAGAAGAATGCCCTTTCTGTTTGCAAACAGCAGAGCTGGATGTGAAAAATCCAGACTGGGTAAATAAAGAACGTTGGTTTCCTGCTGTGTGTGTCTTCCTGAAGGTTTGGCCTGGCAATTTCTGCCATTTTCAGATTGGGGATCTTCATTAATTCCACACAATTCCAGATCCTCGATTCCCCCTTGCCCGTCTGAGACTGGTCTGGCTGAGGTGGCCAGGGCAGAACATGGGGCCTTTTGTGCAGGCAAACCTTGAGGTTCTGACCCGGGAAAGACGGGAAGCTGCCCCGGACAGCAGTGGCAGAGTGGTCCGTGGAATCCTACGGCTCCCTCGAGCAGCCTTTCCCAACTCACACCGCCTGAAATGCTTGAACTTGAGCTGTGCCAGAGCTTGGACCTGGGATCATTTGCACACCGAGCAGGTGTTCCACTAATTCCTGCACCCTTCCTGAAGCAGCCGCAGCTGCGTGAGTGGTGTCCCACAGAAACCAGCTTGGGCATTGGACCAAGCCCCTGGCAAGACACACTGTCTGACCGAAATCTAGAGGTTCTGTTCTCATGAGCAGTTTCAAGGAGCACTGGCCCCTTCAGCCTCCTATAAAGCCCATGTGAGTGGTGGTGGGTAGAGAGTGAAAGGCAAATCTGTTAGGCCAGGACTAGCAAATTAGGGATTTGAAATGGGTGCAATCCTGTAAGCAAGTGTGTGTCCAATTGTTTATGATCTGCATTATTTACTCAGTGGTGTCATTTTGCATCATGCTGGGTTTGGCTCATGAGAGGGAGGGGCGCACAGATCACCTCCTCCCCCCCCAAAAAAAATATTCTTGTCCAGTCTCTGTTCCGATGCCTCCTGCTGAGTCAGCTGACATTTCCTTGGTCCATGTAAGGGATGGAGGCCCAAAATGTCTTCATGTAATTTTGGAATTTCTTAAAGGCTTCCCAGCTGGGAAAGATGGAAGGTCAAAGAAGACGGGGACGGCAAAGGATGAGATGGTTAGACAGTGTCACAGATGCAACGAACATGAAGTTGAGCAAACTTCAGAGGACGGCGGAAGACCGGAAGGCCTGGCGCGATCTGGTCCATGGGGTCGCGAAGAGTCGGACTCCACTGTGCGACTGAACAACAAATAGCTTGTGTCACTGCATGCTAAAGCCGCCAGGGGGCTCTGCAGTACAACTGATCCCAAGGCCCTAGTCTTGGCTTAGCCTTTCGCTGCCGCCTAAGGGGAAAAAACCCATGTAAGCTTCAGGAAAAGTGGGCTACTTGAGGAGCTTTGTTAACAACAAATAGCTTGTGTCGCTGCATGCTAAAGCCGCCAGGGGGCTCTGCAGTACAACTGATCCCAAGGCCCTAGTCTTGGCTTAGCCTTTCGCTGCCGCCTAAGGGGGAAAAAACCATGTAAGCTTCAGGAAAAGTGGTCTACTTGAGCTTTGTTGTTGTCCAGTCTCATAGTCGAGT